CTCCATGCTACTTCTTTATTTAAACTTCCCCCCTCCTGCGTTCCACTAAACCATTGTCTCCATTCTACTTCTTTATTTAAACTTCCCCCCCCTGCGTTCCACCAAACCACTGTCTCCATTTCTACTTCTTTATTTAAAAACTTTCCCCCCTTCCCCCCCCCCTAACTAACAAATGAAAAACTAAACTTCCAAAAAAATTAACTTCCTTCTGTTTAAACTCCCCTCTCCCCCCCCCCTCCCTGTCCAGTTTTCCACTACATTATTTTCTCCAGTTCTATTTCTCTTATTTCTTTATTTCCCCACCCTGCGTTCCACTAAACTATTGTCTCCATTTTACTTCTTTATTTAAGCTTCCCCCCCCTGAGTTCCACTAAACCATTGTCTCCATTCTACTTCTTGATTTAAACTTCCCCGCCCTGCGTTCCACTAAACCATTGTCTCCATTCTACTTCTTTATTTAAACTTCTCCCCCCCCTGCGTTCCACTAAACTATTGTCTCCATTTTACTTCTTTATTTAAACTCCACTAAACTATTGTCTCCATTTTACTTCTTTATTTAAACTTCCCCCCCCTGCGTTCCACTAAACCATTGTCTCCAATCTATTCCTTTGATTAAAATTAAACTCCCCCCCCTGCGTTCCACCAAACCACTGTCTCCATTTTACTTCTTTATTTTAAACTTCCCCCCCCCGCCTGCTTTCCAACTAAAACTATTGTCTCCATTTTCCTCTTTTTTTATTTAACTCCCCCCCACCCGTGCGTTCCACTAAACTATTGTCTCCATTTTAGTTCTTTATTTAAACTTCCCCCCCCCTGTGTTCCACTAAACCATTGTCTCCATTTTACTTCTTTATTTAAACTTCCCCCCCTGCGTTCCACTAAACTATAGATAGATGGATACGTAGATAGATGGATAGATAGATAGATAGATAGATTAAATTAGGTTAGATTAGATTAGATTAGATCAGGTTAGATTAGATTAGATTGATAGATAGATAGATAGATAGAGAGATAGAAAGAGAGAGAGAGAGAGATAGTTAGATAGATAGATAGATAGATAGATAGATAGATAGAGCGATAGAGAGATAGATAGATAAGCAGGTAAATACATACATAGATAGCTAGCTAGCTAGATAGAAAGATACATAGATAGATAAATAACGTACATTAAAGACCTTTCCTATTCGCGTGTAGTTGCGACCATGGCCGCACAGATAGCCTGCTTAAACCAACTTCCACGCATGGCTGCAGATAGAAACAGCACATATACCACAAATTTCGATTTTCATTGTATTTTACAAGCAAAAAATGCACGTCTCCTATTCGCGTGTAGTTGCGAACTTGCCCGCGTGTACATGCGACCATCTCCCACAAGTTGTTCGCGTGTACATGCGACCCCCCGACCGTTGCGTTTTACTACCGCGATGTGCTTGTTTTTTGAGCTATGTCTATTTCGTGTGGCAGGCGTGGCACTTTCGGGACAATTTTGAGGTAAACGTTGTTTTGGCGTGACAGGTGCAAGACATTGGACACTTTTCATCCCCGTGGCAGGCGTGGCGCTTTCTGCACATTGCTAAAATGTTTGCAGGCGTGTGTCAAAATAAGAGGTGGTTTTGGATGTCATTTTTCGTGGCAGGCGTAGTATTTGATGAACTTTGACGACCTTTTTTGAAAGGATCGAAAGTCTCGTTTTGTGAAATTGTCGTCACTTTTGATTTTGGATATGATGACGATTCCGTGTGGCAGGCGCAACACTTCGAATGCCTCAGGCTCATTATTCGCAGCAGGCGCAGTACTTCGCAGACCTCGACTGAAAAGTGGCTGAGACCTAGGTAAAACGTCGTTTTTGACAATTACAATGTTCATTTTTCGTGGCGCACGCGCGGTGTTTTGTGAAAATCTGACATGTGCTCCCGCAACCTTCTCGTCACTTTGGGCCTGTCGGATCGCTCTCGCTGTGGCGTGGTGCTCATTTTGGGATTGCTCGCGCGACCTTCTCGTCACTTTGGGCCTGTCAGATCGCTCTCGCTGTTTGCGCGGTGCAAATTTTGAGATGGCTCGTGCAACCCTCTTGGCACTTTGTGCGTGTCGGATCGCTCTCCTGGTCAATGTCTTGTACAAGTCCTTGTGAGATGATCTTGTGGAGATCCTGATGAAATCCTGTCCGAGGCACTTGCATCATCTTGTACAGGTCCTTATGAGAAGAACTTGCGAAAATCCTGCTGACATCTTCCTGCATGATCTTGCGCAGGTCCTTATGAGAAGATCTTGTGAAGATCCTTGTCAAGTCCTTTGCAAGAGGTCCTTGCATGATCTTGTACAGGTCCTCGTCAGAAGATCTTGCGGCCATCCTGGTAAGATCCTCTTTGAGAGGTCCTTGCATGAAGATCTTGAAGTCAAGTTCTTTGCAAGAGGTCCTTGAATGATCTTGTACAAGTCCTTGTCAGAAGATCTTGAGGCCATCCTGGTAAGATCCTCTTTGAGAGGTCCTTGCATGAAGATCTTGCAGATGCCATGTATCAAAGGTGCTTGTACGAAAGCTCTTCTGGGATGCTCTTGGGAGGTTCTTGTACCAAGATCTTGTAAGATCCTCTCCAGCAGCAACAGGTCCTTTTATGACGATCTTGTGAGATTCTCTTAAGGGTCCTGGCATGAAAATCTTGGTCAAGGTCTTTTACACTTCCGTGTGAAAGGATCTTGTAGAGATGTGAAATCCTCCAAGGAACCTTGAATGATCTTGTACACGTCCTTTTGGGAAGATCTTGTGGAGATCCTAGTGAAATGCTGTCAGAGGCCTTTGCATGATCTTGAGGACCTTGTCAGAAGCTATTGAATAGGTCCTGGTGACATCCTCTAGGTGTCCTTGCATGATCTCGTACAGGTCCTTGTGAGAAGATCTTGTGGAGATCCTGCTGAAATTCTCCTCAAGATGTCCTTGCAACAGCATCTTGAATCTTGAAGATGCTCTACATTGGTGCTTGTCTGAAAGTTCTTTTGGGATGCTCCTAGGAAATTCTTGTATGACGATCTTCTGAGATCCTCTATATATAGAAGGTCCTTCTTTCACGATCTTTTGCACTTCCCTTCGATGTCCTTGTACGAGGTTCTGGTATGGGGTCCTGATGAGTAGACATAGCGCTGCTTCTTGTGCCAAAACAAGTTCCTGCTGCTGGAATTACGATAATGCCTACCCTGATGTGTTACTGTTCCATACTCAGTGGATGGTTTTGGCTTAGAATACTTGTAATTACTTGCATGCACGGTTACAACCCGGTTATAAGCTATTGTAATTTCTCTAAGTCAGCCAAGTTTTTCAGTTTTAAAGGTACTTGCAACCTACTTATACGAGTTGGTCATTTGTATGTTTTGTAGCTTATTCTAGTGAACGTTCCAAAATATATATATATATAGTGTTACAATTTTCCCTGTTTCTCAACCTTTCCTTGGGTAAATGTTTGCATTTTTCATCATTCCATGGGTGAGTTTTGAACTGCTTTTTTTTAAGGCACCGCTTCTCTGGAGTCAAAGCAGCCCTATCGGAGCCTAAAAGAACACAAACGCTCACTGAGCCGCTGCTACATGTTTCAAGTCCCATTTCCAAAATGGTATGTGTATAATTCTATATATATATATATACATGTATGTGTAGATATATCTTAGAGAAGTATATATATATATATATCAGTATGGACACATCACTAAAGCTGCTCAATGAGCAGCTATATAGCCAACCAACATGAATCCATACCCAGTGGCAGCAAGAAAAGATGTCTGGCACTTGCAGCCCAATGAGTCCCAGTGTTTCAATGCAAGTTTTTGCCAAGAATTCACTTTCCAACTCATTTTTTCACATGTGTTCCAAACACATGCTGTTACCAGATATATTGGCTGAACATATCAAGAACTGAATGACTAAGTTTTGAACATGCAAAAAAGTTAACTTTGCCAAGTTAGTGATAAGTTCGAGGATGTATAGGAATGTGTAAGAATGTATAACTCAAAAAAACGGAGTTATACATGTATAACTCCAAAAAAATGGAATTATATTTTTTGGAGTTATACATGTATAACTCCAAATAAAATGAGTTATGCATTCCTATACGTTGCTCTACATTTCATCTTTCGCAGGTTTTGGGGCATATGTTTTTGATAGTACAATGGTTTTTTGTGTGTTTGGCCAAAAAAAATGCGGCCCCATGGGCCGTAATTTTTGAAATCAAACCTTTCACATATGTTATAAACCTTGGATTCAAACATTGGTAGATGCGGCACAATGGGCCGCATTGATTCAAATCGAAGGGTATGCACGTCCCACAAAGCCTTGCTGCCAATTTCACAGGCCGGAACCGCCCCAACCCGGTGGTTGAAACTGAATGAAACTTGTTGGCCTTGCTTGCATTGAAAGAAACAAGAAGGCGTGGCAGTCTGAAGTCTGAACTCGAGCCGCTCATTGAGCCGCCGTGCGACCCCAGGTCTGGTTAGACTGAAAACCACAGCAGCTCATTGAGCCGCTTTTATACAAATTGGGATCAGTAATAACTGTTCTTAAAGGTTGCCTTGCTGCTTCCTCTTTCGTGCGGTTCATGGAACCGCACACTAGCCAATTCAAGCTTTTTGGGGGAAAAATGAAATGCTTTGTTTTTGACCATGTTTGAAAAATAAGCTCGAAATATAATGCTTCCCGAAACAACAAAAACTTAGAACACTTATATAAGTTTTGCAAGTTAAAATTAGGGAATTGAGCATTTAAAGTAAAAATAATCGGTTGCTAAGTTTTCTAAGTTGACTTATAAGTAGTGCAAGTGCTCAAAGTGCTACAACCTACTTATAACCTATAACTTTCCTAAGCCAAAACCATCCACTCAGTAGCTACTGTTGCTTGTATCTATCTAGTACATTGACTTCCTACCCCCCCCACTGTTTGGGGTCTCTTGCGGTGTAATTTGTTTGGCTGGGGTTTGCAATGCATTTTTTCTGCACATTGGATTTTTCTGTGCATTCTACAGCAGTTTCTGCGCCTCCTTCCAGGCAGCGAAGCAGTCCATCAAATCGGGGCCCCTGCATCGCGATCAACTTCCAAGCAAAGCGGAAGACCCTTGGAATTCATCCAGAAGCTATGGGTGTTTGGGGATGACTTGGGCAGAAAGCAGCAGGAAACTATGGTTTGTTGTTTGCAAAGCGACTGTTTTCATGCGAATTCTATGCCAATTCTCCCTTGTTCTCCCTTGATCTGTGGGATAAGCCAGGCATCCTGGTGATCGCGGTAAAGAGTGTGGGGAAAAATCGATATGTGTTCAAAAATAGGGTATCGTATGCCGGTATACCGCAAATCCACTAGATTGATGAGCATCCCATAAAATCATTTTAAATCCCATAACACCTCCAAGGTAGAGAAAATTTTAAGTAACCTCTAACTAACAGCCCGACATCCAGCAGACTGCCTCTGAAGGCCCAAGGACGTGAATTTGGCGGCACCGTCCTGCCATAGCTTCTGTACACAAAAAAGACCCCGAAGCAGCTATCAGGAAACCATGGTTTCTTTTGTTTGAGCCCGGAATAATTATGCTGGTTTCCTGTGGTTTCCTGCGCATGTTCCTTAAATTCTGTTTCTCCCACCAGGTGAAGGTTGTTGGAGTTTATGTCAGCTGTCCCGCCGCCTCCGCCTCCTCCTCCTCTCCGCCGCCGGACCTCAATTGCAAGCGCTAGATTCTAGATCGCAGTGTTCCCCGCCGGACCTTGAACAGCAAGCTCAGGATCAGAGCGTTCCCCGCCGGACCTCAGCGCTAGATCGCAGCAAGCTCAGGATCAGAGTGTTCCCCGCCGGACCTCAAGTGCAGCCGCTATAGATCACAGTGTTCCCCGCCGGACCCGAACAGCAAGCTCAGGATCAGAGCGTCCCCTGCGGGGCTTCAACTGCAAGCGCTAGATCGCAGTGTTTCCCGCCCCTAACAAGGAGCTCAGGATCAGAGCGTTCCCCGCCGGACCTCAACTGCAAGCGCTGGATCGCAGCGTTCCCCGCCGGACCCGAACAGCAAGCCCAAGATCAGAGCGTTCCCCACCGGACCTCAAGTGCAAGCTGCGCTAGATCCCCGCCGGACTTCAAGCGCAAGCGCTAGATCGCAGCGTTCCCAGCCAGACCCGAACAGCAAGCTCAGGATCAGAGTGTTCCCCGCCGGGCCTCAACTGCAAGCGCTAGATCGCAGTGCGCTAGATCGCAGCGTTCCCAGCCAGACCCGAACAGCAAGTTCAGGATCAGAGTGTTCCCCGCCGGGCCTCAACTGCAAGCGCTAGATCGCAGTGTTCCCCCCCCGACCCGAACAGCAAGCTCAGGATCAGAGCGTTCCCCGCCGGACCTCAAGTGCAAGCGCTAGATCGCAGGGTTCCCCGCCGGACCCGAACAGCAAGCTCAGGAGCAGAGTGATCCTCGCTAGAACGCCAGAATAGATGCCAGATAGAATGCCAGAAAGAATGGCAGATAGAATGTCAGAATAAATTAAAATGTCAGAATATATGCCTTCAAATGCCATAGTGATTATCTCTCGAAGTAAAGTAATGTTTTGTTCAATCCTAAGTTCTGACGAATATGATCTGCAGCAATTCTAAAAAAGAATCTGTTCAATGAGTCCGCGCATGACGTTATCATTCATCTGCGTCACATCTGTACCGCTGGCTGGTTCTACACGTTTCCAAACTTCAAACGCTTCAATTAGAATCATCCTCCCTCAAAGAAAGTTTTTTCCAGCACAAATCTGATAACTTTGAGACACTCAAGCCTTCAATGTTTCGGAATGTGTGTTTCTTCAAAAACAGTGTACATAATTGTCCCAGAATCCACGGGTTAGCCAGTCATCCATTTCCAACTTCAAACCGCCAAAAATTGAGGGTAATCCCATTTTCAGGCACGCCCATAGTATATTGTTGATAATACATACCACGTCAAATTCATCATTTATATTTAAATGCATATATATATACAAATAAATATATCATATTTTTGAAAAAACAGTTATAATAGTAAAAAATAATGTAATACAATATGTTAAATTAAAAAAATAATTTTACATTTAACATAATATATATATGTATCTAATATAAAATAATATATTATTTTTGAAAATATTATAAGATATTTAATTTAAGATAAAATAGGAGAATATATTATAATTCAAATATATTATATATATACTTGTATAAATAATGTATATTGAAATCGATTATATATGTTAGAATATATTATACATGATAGGTAGTACATCACCCATTTTATCCTCTTCAACATCAACCGTCTACGTCCCGCACCTGCACACCTTTCACCGTCTTCACCAGACCCTCCAGTTGCCCGGGCTCGTTTCCAAACAAATCCTGGGCGAGGGTGGCTGAGGGTGGCAGCACATTCCAAGAAACATATCAGGTATGGACCATTTGAAAATGATGGGAACATTTCTGGATTTCAATGAGGTTTCCAGTGGGCCTTACAATGATGGGATATAATAAGACAACAAGACTGGGGATTCAGCGAAGACCAAAAGGTGAAATAGTCCAAAAATGGTGCGAGAAGGATTGTGGCCATTTCGAACCATGATCCTTTACCCTTCGGTGTCCTCAAACATGGCGGGCCGCTGGGAAATCCTCCAAATAAATGTTTATAGCTGGGAAAATGATTGCACTCACCAGGGTGCCGGGGTTGGAAGAGGCCTCCAGCAGTCCAGTCACCCAAAAGGAAACAACACACATCCACAGGACTGGTTCAGCCTGTAACAAGTCCCCGAAATCTACCCCAAATTCATGTATTTGTTAGGAAAATCATGAAATCTCCTATTAACAAATCTACGCCTAAGATACTATAACTTAAAATGTAGAGAAGCAGCTGGGATCAGCTGTTTGTCGCACTTTCATGTCCAGGAAAGCAATAAGAAGCCTCATCGGTCATTTTTTTCAAGCGGAATAAAACCAAAACCTCAAACGATGAACCATTCCCAAATTCTAGTAGAGGTAGGTGGTTCAAACCATCAGATTTATTATTGGGTTTACCACATTGCTGCATTTACGACGTCAGCAATCATGACAATGCCTTTTAGGCTCTTCTTTTTTTGGCAATGACCTTAATAGCTCAAACATATCATGGTTGAGATATGGGTTCGTCTGAGAATGGGGTACCCATTAACATGTTTCCCATTCACATGGCCAAATCTATGGGAGGTATAGCCGTATCGCCACATTTCCGAGAGACGGAAGCTTCCTCTGTGTGCCCGTACCTAAGCCAACTCATATGACTAATTTCATTGGAAAGACAAGGAGCAGTTGGCAATGATCGGCGGAAAAGGCTAGAATTTTAAATCTTTTTTTTGCTTTTCTGGAATTTCGGGATGGCCAATTCCTAGCTGTTTGACAGTGCGGCAAGGACACTTGATTCAAGACCTGCGACCACCCGGAACCCGCTGGTTCCAGGTATAGCCGCAGCAGGATTTCCCCCGAAAGTTTTCTACTTTTTGGTAGGCAGTGCTTCCCACCCAGGTCTTTATGGTCTTTCATCTTTTGGCAGTTTGTACCATGTTGTACTCCTACTTTTTGGTAGCTTCTGCTTTCAAGTTTGCTAGGGCTGCTAGCGTTATCAGAGCTCTGCTATGTTCTACTTGGTAGATTTCAATGCCCTTCCTTTCTATATATCAGTATACGTATTGAGTCAATCCAAGGTGGTAGCTTATACCCGCAGTTCTGTTCGTTCAACCCCCATGCTTGACATTTTTCACTTGCAACTCAACCCCAAAAACAAGGTTGCGGCCGTGTGGACGACCCTGGGCCGTGTTAAAGACCCTGGGTAAATTGCTCAGTTCGAAATGAGTCTCAAGGATTCAGTGCTGCGTTTTGCAATGTATTTGAAAGTTCGTGATGGAACCTGTGTTCAGAACGCCCCATGTTTACCATGACTTTGAACCTCATATTTGCAAAACCCATTGGCTCTACGACTCGAACACACAGCATTTCCATGCATTTCCAAGATTCTAGCGAGATGCGTTTTTCGCAAGAGAGCCAACTGCTTTCAGCAAGTGCGGCCTTGCGTTCCATCGGAACGTTAGCATCCCACCCCACCACACCCCAACCCCACCCAACCCCCGTGATCAGCGTAACATCATGAGCGTAACATGAACGTTACTCCCACCCGACCTCACCCACCATTATTCACCGTCACAGCATCAGCGTAACAATGAAACGTTAACAATGCCACCCCACCACACCCCCACCCACCAAACCCCCATGATCAACGTAACATCATCAGCGTAACATGAACGTTAACATCCCACCCCCATGATCAGCGTATCGTCATGAGCGTAACATGAACGTTAACATCCCACCCGACCCCACCCACCATGATCAACGTAACATCATCAGCGTAACATGAACGTTAACATCCCACCCCACCCCACTCCACCCCAACCCCCATGTTGCCTAAAAATGATACGTTCCTATGGGGTCGCTAATGCGGCCGTGAGCAAAAACAAGCACCAAGCACCAACATCAACCAACACAGCCCCGGAGACCAACAGCGCCAGGTGCGTTTCCATCATGAGCTGCAAGAAGAGTCGGGCATACATCGTCACAATCTCGCAAAGGCAGCTCCGGGACCTGAAATCGCTTTGGGCAACTTGGGATTAGTGGAGATGCTCCACTTATGTGCCACAGGAATGCTGAAGGACATAGATTTCCTAAAAGAAACTCATACGACTTTAGAAGTTGGGTTGTAGCCTACTGACCATGCTTTACCCTGTACGAGTATGATATGCAAATATATAGATAATATGATATCATACGATATCATAAGATATCATAAGATATCACAAGAGCTGAAGCTGAAACATCAGCCATCGGTGAGCGGTGTTCAGGATTTAAACCACGGCAACTGCAGCGTCCAACTCGCGGGGATACCAGGCCAGCAGATTTACAGCAGCCTCCCCATGGATACCGATGTAAAACTCATTGTAAAACCATGTTTGTTTCACGTGAAAAAGCTGGGATTTATGGATGTTCATCCCCAGTCATATGGTAAGAATGGGTTAGACCCATCCCAATATAGCTATTAGACTTTTGGGATCTTTTGGGCAGGTCAGGAGTAGCCTATTCCAGGTGCCAAGTCAGCCAGGTGGCATGCACTTGCGGAAGAATGTCGCCTGAAAAATCGCCAGGCAGCTGGAGAATACTGGCAGGTTAAGGAATTAATAAGGAATTATAGTACGAAAAACATGTATACGAAACGGATTTATAGATGCGTTTCAAAATCAATTGATCCATTATGATCGGAAAAATGCGATCTTGGAGGCAGTCGAGCTCTTGTTTACATAGCATGGGCTGGCTTGGGAGTTGGTAGCTGCAGCCTAGCTGGGTCAACAAAATCTGGTGCCTCTTGCAACCGAGAGACATCTAAGGTCAAGAAATATGCCTCAGTGACAAAGATGTGGATCACGATTGTCAGCGACGACAATTTTAGGGCAGTGAAACACTGTGAAACAATGGGGCAGAAACTGCAGAACTGTTTGGCGTGATAACTCATTGATTTCCAGAAAACAACCGCTTCATTTTCTCAGTTTTGCCTTCGCCGAATTTTCTTCGCAGCTTCCTCTCGTTGAGACGAAACAGGGGACTCTCCTGAGTGTTTTAGTGGAAAGTTTCTCAACATCAAGTGACATTAAGATATAAATTAAGTGTTTGTTTCTGGCCGGCAGGCTTGTAATTCAGTTGGCTAGGTTTTCTGGACTCCAAAAAAGTGATGCATTTTGGGGATTCCAATCGAAAATCAATGGCTGAGAGCAAGCTGACCGAGCCATGTACCCTCTGGTAATCAACGTGGCTGGCTGGGAAATCCTCCGTAAATGGAGGGTTTAACGGGAACATACGTGGAATGGATCTATAAATGGGTGATTTTCCATTGCCACATTTGATCACTGGAGGATAATTTTTTCTTTTGCCATTACATAGAACTTGCAGGGAAAGTTCACGTTAGTTCTAGATGGTTCTAGATGGTGTTAGCGTGTGCTAGCCCCACTCACATCCCACCCGGCCAATGCTGCCTTGTCCCTACATCTCACGTGAACTCTGAACCGATCAGAAATCTCTGTTCGTGCTTGGTGTCTCACCTCATCTACTGCTTTTTCAGTTTAAAAAGGAACTATGTTACCTTCCTGGTTCGTAAAAGTGGGTCTTCCGAAAAATGAGTTTACAGTTTACTGTTACCTTACTGTTAGCTTAAAGCTATCTCTACTGTTCCTGTTGTCAGTGGCTTCTTTTTACCCTCGCAAGTCCCAATGGAACACACTCCTGAGTCGCCCAGCAGATTGATCCTCACAGTGCAAGCGACCTCGATATTCCCATTTCAACCTGATGTCGCTGGCGCGACCGTGACCAGCAATTGAAAAAGCGGTATAACGTTCCAAAAGCTGGAACTTTGCGGGATGTTCGAACCATGGCTTTTCTCTGAACATTTTCTACCCCAAAAATCATCGAACATCCCATGATTGATCATAATTAGTCCCTAGTACGCTACATCCATGTGAGATCATGTGAGATCATCTGCGGAGTATACCCTATGACACACTGGCAGCACACTGGACTGGTCTTAAAATACTTGAAAGGTTGAAACTGGTTCCAGCTTGGCTCGGTCCAATCGCGTGTAATTCAATCTCCATGGTTTCAATCGTTAGAGATTTGGAAGGTGGAATGCTGAAGGCTATTCACCAAACAGAGAATCAAAGTTTCCCGAAACAGCTCTGAGGGTGGAAGCAACCATGTGCACATCACAACGCTTTTTGGCCGACCCGGAATTGGCAATGTAGTCAACCTCCATTTTCCAGGCAACCCCTGTGTGCCACCAAAGCAGTTTCCTTAAGGGTTCAACAGTTCAACCATTGATCGAACGAATGGTAAAAATGTTCGCTAAATCCTTGATGTTCCTCTCTCAGGTTGAGGGATGTGTTGTCGAGGACGATGACAATATCCTTCAAAATCATTACACAGTCAACTCTGTGTCTGTTGGTTGAAGCCCGTTCTTGGTCCATAAAATCCCATGCTTCATGGTTTAACTCCCATTTTAGGTGGTTCAAATCAAATGCGTGGTATTTCTCAGGCCATGTTGCATCTGTGTTTTGGATGGTTGCATTCTAGTTATGGGCAATTGAATCCCATCTGCGGTTCTCAAATGCCATTTCTGGGGGCGTTCCTACAAGAGGGGTACCCCCAAATCATCCAAATTTTCATAGGATTTCCACGAAATAAACCATCCAGCTATTTGGGTACCCCTATGACTATGGAGACCCCCAAATAGGGGATAAAAAACTCGAGACCGGCCAAGCTGCCACAGGGTTGCCTCTGCGATCCGCATGCCCTGAAATCGATGGGGGTTTTGAGAAATGGACATATCCCAGTAGCTGGTTGGTTTATTTCATAGAAATCCATCCATACATGGATGATTTAGGGCTCCCATGACTTAGGAAACCTCCATATGGTCCATATGTATATTATTGTATATTAATGTGTATCTATCCATCCATCCATTCAAGCTGTTTATCCGTCCATCTATAAAGAAAATCGTATCTACCTAACGAACCAGCTTCACATAGGGAAATGTGGACCCTGCCAGGTTGGACTACCAAAGAACATAAATTTTATGCCTGGAATCCAACCGATCCGCATCAAATGGCGCTTTTGATGCATCAAATGGGGTGGTTGTGATTCAAAGTGAGGATCATGTGGCTTTCAGTTTGATTATGTATGTATGTATGTATGTAGGTAGGTAGGTATGTAGGTATGTAGGTATGTAGGTATGTAGGTAGGTATGTATGTATGTATGTATGTAAATATACATTTACATAGTACAGTGCATCCCAGCCCTAATTTCAGGCAATCGTTCTTAAAATGTGAATATCCCAAACCTGATTTATCTTTCAAAGCCTTAAATTACAGAAGTGAAGAAACAAATGCAGAAACCGCTGATTAATTTGCGGGTAACAGTGATGATTTCCTGTCGTTTTTCTCTTAAATTCATCCGTTGATGGTTGTGCCAATCTTTAGCTTCCATTTATGAGGCGTTAGCGTTGAAAATTATCAGCATAATAGCAATGGATTATTGGCAAAGCACTTATCGCTAGAATAAATATGGCAATGCATCAGTTATATTCATTTTTAATATTTGATATGTACTGCTTGTTTCATTGCTGTGTTTGTTGAAACAATGGGAAAAATTGAGAAACAAATCAACAATAAGGCCTTTTGGACTGTACAAAATACATATGGTTGAACAACCCAACCACTTCTTCCGTGTTCTTTACATTGTACTGGACCGAGAAGGTCCAATTACAAACTCCATACGGTCGGTTCTAGGCAGAAATCTGGCGTCCAGATATGGATGAGGGTTCCAACCACCCAATTTGATGCTCACAAACACCATATTTCCCATCAAGATAACCATTTGGATGTATACCCAATCAACTCTTTCAAGGCTCTCATTTTGCCAAAAAAGACCAACTATTGCACTACCACATTTGGGGTCGATGTTCATGTTCACGGCGAGGTAGCTCACCCATACCTCTAGATGCATATTGAAACCACGCTGCAGGATGCCTCGTTCACATCTTCCATATCCGTGGTGTCGCTGCAATACTTAAGCCTGGCAGGGATCCACCTCTCTTGGGTTCTCTCACTCCAGGTATCAAAGATATGACCAAAATGAACAAATGCCCGCAAATTCCTGGGTCAAACTTTTTTTTTATCCCATCACCTAACATTAAACACCCAGTAATTTGATCACAAAATATCACAAAGATGTATACATCCCCTACCACACCATGGTCTCTAGGGGGTGTTTAATATTAGGGGCCAGGTAGAAATTTTAAATGTTTAGTTTAGTGCAAATACAAACACCTCAGCACCTCAAAGGTTCAAAGCTTGGAGAATGGTAACCGGCTTCGCAAGGTGTCAGGGTTCAGTTGCGGAAAACCGTTGCCGGCTAGTGCCGTTTGGTAATTAAACATGAACAATCCCCAATAACTGGTGGGGCTAGTGGGAAATTCGTGTATAAACGCTTGATTTTTGAGCACGCCACGTTTGATTTCCGGAGGGTATTATAAAACATCAACTCGTATGCTTTGATAAAGCACCAAATATAAATGAAAATACAATTTAAGTTAAGCAAACCAATTGGGTTTGCAATCAGATTTGATTGAACGTGAAATTCAGGTGATCTTCACTTGAATAGATGATCCACCTTTTCTTTGTGTTGGTCCAAACCTATTTCTAAGGTATGCAGTGGTCACACACACACAGTACATACAGTTATATCATATACAATGCCTATATATATACATACATATATATATATACATATACATATACATATACATATACATATATATATACATATACATATACATATATATATAATTATATATATATATGTGCATGCAAATATGTAATGAGGTAAACCCAGGAATAAACCATCCAAAAAACAGAGCGATAAATCATTGGGCCCCAGTCATGGCTACTTGGATGGTGGCATTGGTGAATCTCAGAGGTTATGGATAATGGAAAAATGGAAGCCCTCGGGCGACCGGAGCTATGGACAATCAGAACTCATCTATTTCCATGGCCATTTTCCATAGCAAACTCTTCAGCAAGAGGATTCAGATGGATTCAAGATATGCAAAGTCTATCAGTCTATCTGAAATGTATCATCAAGACTTGGACCTTCCCTCAAACGCAGCTTCCGCACCTGCCATTCATCAGGAAGATAAACCTGGCATTCGGCCGGGATGTGTTTTTGACCCCATCAAATCACCTTTTTTCCAGTGTAAAAACCTATGGTTTTTTAGCAAATTCAAATGCAGAAGTCGGTCGAATCCTGGCGATTCCCCCATTTTTTCTGGTGTACTTGTCCATCCAACGCCCAAGAAGAACATAGCCAGCGTTTTGGTATTCTGTTACCTAGTTCTTCTTTATATTAAATAGAGATCTTCAGTTTGTCTGAAATGGGGCATCTGAGTTTCCATCATGGTGGAGAACATCATGTTCCTTCAAATAGGTTGCCGCAGATAGGGGAGGATCTCCCCGAAAATATGTCATGCCGGATCTGGCTGCTGTAACAGTATGAAGCTGATTCCATCCCCATCAAATGGCTGGTTATATATATATGTATAATAAATATACTGTATATATATACATATATGTCCCATATTGGGTACTTCAACCCCCATAATCAACCAAAAGCATAACAACTATCATATCCACATATCATATATCTGGTCAACAGTGTCAACAGTTTGTTTACCGCCATTTTGGCAGCTTTTAAATACCAATAGATATCAATAGTCTGTTTCTGGTCGAACCCAAGATACCGATCCCATTGATATGGATATCAAAAATGCTTGGCTCATAAGGATCCGCAAAGTATCCCCAATGCTCGGACATACATCCCCCGTTCATATTCAACACCCCGTTCAAAAGTCCATTGTGGTCATGGTTTCGTTGGGGATTTACACATATTTGGAACCATGTATGAGGTGTGGCTATTAAACGTGGCTAGCTGGAAATTTTACCATTCAATTTAGTTCGATGATTCTCCGTGTCAACCATCCTTCCGGTGAGGTGACGGTCATGATCCGATTCATGAAGATGATGTAGCCCTGGTGTTTTAACAAAATAGCTATGGAAAATCAACTTTTTATGGCTAGGTAAATGATACATAATTTATTTCAATGTGCCATTCTCCATAGCTCTGTTAAATAACCAGGTTATATCAATGGTCAATGATTCAATGATTCACCATGAATTTCCCACTTAAATCCCATTGATCACGATTAAATCACCATTTCATGGCACGGGCCGGGTACATCAACTGCAATGCCCTGCAATGCCCTGCCTATCTGCCGCGGAGTTGGGATGGAAAATCTCCTCTCCATGCACGACACTCGACTCCTTGATGGCCTGTGCAGAGAAAAACTCCGAAGTGGACAAAACGGCGTTTGTTCAGCCACGGAACTCGTGATATCTTACAAGACTTGGGGCAAAATTTTGATTTAACATGACCTAACTAATATAAACCTAGAAAACATTGGGGTTCAACAGATTTAAGCATCAAATTGTCTGATTCAACCAGCGCTGGTGGTTCGTCCCAGGATCAACTCTGATGTTCAGAGCTGGACCGGCTGGGGGGTTCTCATAGACCGTCTTGTGGCCAAACTTACATACTTCACTGAACCACCCAACTGGTTGACCGCATCAATATTGTATCCCATTGCTAAATCCAATCTGTGTTGCTGGAATCCCTATTCAGCCTATTCTTTCTTAAGATTTTCCATGAAAATCCCATTGGAAATCTCCGGTTTTCATGAACCAAAAGCTGCATCCCAAAATTTGACAAAAATGACATCGTGGGCATGTTGAATGTCCTCGATCACTAGGTAAAACCCTGGTTCTTCCTCTAAGAAAATCACCATCAACACTCAGAAAACTAGCTGTGTTCATTTTCATCTATAGCATATATTTGGAGGTGTCCCGAAATAGGGGTCCCTTTATTTAAATCATTTCAATAGGGTTTCCATTATAAACCATCCAGCTATTGGGGATTTTCCCCATGACTATGGAAACCTACATCTATATATTTCGCTTGGAGGGCCGAAACAAGCGGAAGTTACCATCCCCATCAGACGCTGAGAACCGCCGAAGAGTTGGGGTCTGCCAAGGCGCACGTGTCATCTTCCCAGGGTCTATGTTAGTCGGAGGGATGGTACCATGATTGGGTATTATGATGCCTATTCTATCCCAATTATCACTATTGGAATATAAGATGTGTCACTATTTTACCATATTATGCAATCATTATTTCTCATTAAACAATTAATATCGCAGCTACTAGATTCCCATTATATCACTTCCCATCATTGGCAAAATCATTTTCACATGTGTATATATTTATACATATATCTTACAATTTTCCAATTATTATACCATTATGTTACTATTATACTATCTGGCTAAATTATGATAATAGATCAACATAAAAATAGCTGAACTAAGGCCATTTGGGGATGATCCCCTTTGCTAATCATCATTCCAGTGCCGTCACAGTGAGGTCATTTTGATCCAGATTTAATGTGGGAAACCCAATATAATTAACACCTACCAGTAGTACTTCACAAGGCGGTGGCGGAAGTTTCAAAAATAGGAAACCTGTAGGAGAGGTTGGTTGTTGTGACTCACGGATGGCAGAGCGAATCCACTGATGGACCGAAAGCTGGTGGGAGTTGTGTTTTTTGGAGTGGTTGCAATGGTTGCAGTGGTCACCTCACCACAACTGCTCGATGTAGTGTGGTGTAGTGCAGTTGTAGGTGTAGTTGCAGTTGTAGATGTGTAGTGGAGTTGTAGTTTTAAGTTGTAGTTGTAATGTAGTGTAACTAGTGTAGTGTAGTTGCAGTTGCAGTTGTAGTTGTGGTGTGGTGTAATTAGCATAGTGTATTGTAGTGTACTGTAGTGTTGTGTACTGTAGCGTGGTATAGTGTAGTGTAGTCTAGTGTATTCTAGTGTAAAGGAGTGTAGTTGTAGTTGTAGTGTAGCGTCGTGTAGTGCAATTTGTGGTAGTTGCATTTGTAGCGTAATGCGTAGTGTAATGTAATTAGTGTAGTGTAGTGTTGTGTAATGTAGTGTAGTTGTAGCTGTAATTGTAGTTGTAGCTGTACTTGTAGTTGTAGCTGTCATCGTAGTTGTAGCTGTGGTGGTGGTAGTAGTGGTAGTAGTGGTAGTAGTGGTAGTACTGGTAGTAGTGCTAGTAGTGGTAGTAGCGGTAGTAGTGGTAGTAGTGGTAGCAGCGGTAGCAGCGGTAGTAGTGGTAGTAGTGGTAGTAGTGGTAGTAGTGGTAGTAGCGGTAGTAGTGGTAGTAGTGGTAGCAGCGGTAGTAGTGGTAGTAGTGGTAGTAGTGGTAGTAGTGGTGGTAGTGGTAGTAGTAGTAGAAGTAGTAGTAGTAGTAGTAGTAGTCGTCGTAGTATTAGTAGTAGTAGTGGTAGTAGTAGTAGTGGTAGTAGTAGTAGTAGTGTAGTGTAGTGTAGTGGTACCTGTAGTTGTAGTTGCAGTTGCAGTTGCATTATTTGTCTCTCTATCTATCTGTCTATCTGCAAGCTTGAAAACGAAGCTATTCTGCGAGACTTCCTCAGTTTTTGAACTTGACAACATCAAAAATGCAGCAATTCTGCGAGACTTCCTCAATTTTTGAACTTGACAACGTCAGAAACGAAACAACTCTGCGAGACTTCTTCATTTTTTGAACTTGACAGCGTCAAAAACGAAGCAATTCTGCGAGACTTCCTTCAAAAATAGAAAGTTGAGTGCAGAACTGACGCCCTCGTACCAATGCGTTTTGCAATTTTTGCACTCCACCTGCCTAAAGTACTGCGCCTGCCACGAAAAAGTGATGCCAGGTCATACGAAGCGCTGCACCTGTGACGCAAAATCATCTTCTCAAAACTGAAGATCTGATGCTCCAAAATGCAACCCCTCTGAGGAAATCAGCGCCCGGACCTTCTAACAGCTCTGATGAACATGTCTCTTGTACTGCGCCTGCCGCGGAAAATGCATCTTTGCAGATCTTCTTCAAATGTCCCACACCTGCCATCGTTTTTTTGAAATGCCACAAAACCCTCACGTTTTGCTCACTTTTGACAAGGTGCACAATCCCTTGCGCCTGCCACACGAAACGACATCTGAACCTTCAAAAGTGGTCCGTTCGGAATGTGCTTCTGGTGTTTTTAACATTCTGACTTCGACATGTGCTTCCCGCCACAATGGCGTGCACTTTTTCGACATCTCAACTTCTAAAAGTGCTCCGAAGCTGTGGTGCTTTTAACATTTTGACTTCGAAATGTGCTTCGCGCCACAACGGCGTGCACTTTTTAGACAGCTCAACTTCCAAAAGTGCTCCGCATGTGAAGTGTTTTTAGCTTTTTCACTTGCAAATGTGCTTCGCGCCACAACGGCGTGCACTTTTTCGACATCTCAGATTCCAAAAGTGGTCCGGAGCTGGTGTGGTTTGTGCATTTTGACTTGGAAACGTGCTTCGCGCCACAACGGCGTGCACTTTTTCGACATATCAATTTCCAAACGTGGTCCGAGCATGTGGTGCCTTATGCATTTTGACTTGGAAATGTGCTTCGCGCCACCCGCCGCTTTAGCGAGCCTACTTTTCGACCCTCCGGAGCCACAAATCTTTGGAAAAACACAGTGTTTCGCGACTTTCCTACCTTTTCGCGCACTTGGATCTTCTTTCTTCTGAGACTTTCTCTTCTCTGATCTTCTCTCTTCTTCCCTTCTCTTCTCTATTCTTCTGCTCCACCTCTGCTTTTCATCTGTCCATATTGTCGGAAGTTTGACTTCTAAACTTCCTTCTTGACTTCTAAACTTCCTTCGACCATTTGGGGAATGGTTACAACATGTTACAACATTATACATTGTCCAATCCATTAATGGTGGTGACTTGGGGGATGGTGGGTGAATCCCACAGATGAATAGGAACTTCAAATTCTGGATGCCGCGCCTTGTGGCACAGCCGCGCCTCAGTTCTGAAGGGTGGACAACTAGGATTTAACCCCAAGACTGGGGATTCATCATGGATTTCATGATGGATAAGTTAATTATACTTGATTTGAACTTCGCGTTTTCTATATGTTTCTATCACTTACATTGATTTGTGGTGGATATATGCGGATATAATCGAAGATATCTATCTATGGTAAGATCGCGTTATGGACAGACTTATAACTAAGGGGCCCTTCTCGCTTGCGAAATCATGGATCTCAATGGGGTATGGTTTATGTTCATGTTCATGTGGGAAACCCAAAAAACAAGTTCACAAACAAATGCAATCTCTATGAGTTGTTGGGATATTCTAAGCTATTTCTAAGCTATGCCAGACATGTTGTTTCGACCCTTGGAGGTGCCCATGGTATTCCGTAGCGCCATCCCAGCGCGCGCCATGCTGCCAGTTCGGAGTACCCCGTCAGGGAGAGGTAGTGCAACAACGGATGGCTCGTCAGCACAGGCATGCTCACCTGGCTCCAGGATCTTCATGTCTGTTACCCTCTGGTAAACCAACAGTTTGCTATTGAAGATTGCCATTTATAATTGATTTACCTATCGAAAATTGTGATTTTCCATGTTTGTTTACCAGAGGGCAAGGAGAAAGGGCCATGTTTGATGGGGGATTGTCATAGTCCAATATTAGGGAAGCCGCGAAGCCTGGCACCGACTCGTTTGGCGGCTTTTGAAGATGACAGGTTGGGTGAACTGGATACATCATTGAAGTAAACTTGCTAACCTGCTACGCGGGGTATCAAGGGATTAGCCATGTTATGATAGATGGTTTACTCACTTTTAAGCCATCGAACAGCGGGGAAATTACCGTGGGTGTTTTTGGTAGGTTTTTGAAATCATTGCTGTTTGAATGACTATTCAGATCGATTGATAAGTGATAATATGATAATATGATAATATGATAATATGATAATATGATAATAATAGGATTAATTGCTTATATCACTGAGTATCCAATTGGCAGTATTCCTTTATTCGTGCCTTTATGTGGTGAGTTTTGGGCTAACTTTAGGGTATGGTGTATGAGCAGCATTGGGTTTAGCACACTGGTGGCTTTCACAATCCTTCGGGGGATTTGTCCTTGCCAGGTTGGGATTCCATGGGATTCCATGGGATTCCATGGATTTACCGCAAAAATATACAGTTTTTTTTTGGAACATGTCACCTGAAACATACTAAAAAAAACAATTCTGGGAAGAGGCTTTTTTGCTCTGACTTCACCAAAGACAATCATACGATTTCACAAGCTGCTTCACAAGCCATCCCAAACAGGTTCAAAGCCGTTGGAAGTTGTTCTTGGTCAAAACAGGATCCGTACGGGGAACAGAATCCTCAGTTTTGTTCACCTCCAAATCGCCGGCAGATGTTTCATGATGATCCAAGTATCGCATCTTAGGTGTTGATCCCCTAATCAAACAAATCAAATCACCTCCACTAAAGCCCCCACCTCCTCCAGAAGGTTGTCACGCAGTGCTCTTGGCAGGACCCTGATACGTAGCGTGTGTGGGGTGGTACTCTGGGTAAATAACGGTAAATAACAATCATAATTTATTGGTTCGCCCTGAAATAAAACAATTGGGTTTGTCTGAAAATGAACGGCCTCACATGGCCATTTGCGGACAATGATTTTCCAAACCACCCATTTTTGCTTCACCCAAAACTTGAGGTTCCAAACCCGGGAAGAATTAGAATTCGGCTTCCCAACCAGGAGCTTTCGGAAAAAGCGACAAACCACTCAGAAAAAAAATCAAAAAACTACCGTGCAAAGTCACTCGCAGTGGTAAAATCTTCGGATGATCCCTGTGAAACACCCAGCAAGTTCTCCGAGTAGCTTCAAGATTTTGATATCACCAGACACCAACTTGCTCTGCGCCTCCATGGAAGCTGATGGGCTGAGGAATGTACCATAGGGCTGGTATGTCAATGATTCTGAATAGGAACATATATAGGAACCGTTATCTTCTACGCTGCACCTTTGTGAGTGGAACGAAATAAGCCTCAAATTCGCGGCTTCAAACCAGGAAATGGAAGGGTGACACATCCAAAATCAAGATCTTTCGGGCCGGACGTGATTGAGGAGCAAAGCATCAAGAGTAGATAAGATAAGTCTGTGGGAATCCTTCCTATTACAGTAGATTCAATCGCACCAGACCCAAACGCGAGTCCGTTTTGTTCTTGAGACCACAAACCCTGAACAAAAATGGCTTTCTCCAGAAATGGGGGACACCAAAAAAATTGCCCATTCGAAAAACATCCGAAAAAACCGGTGGATTTGGGGATACCGGGAGACCTTGTGACCTTGACATACCCATAGATCCAAAAAGATGATGCAAACACGACGCTTTTTTGCGCTGTGTTCTGCCTTGAAGTTCAACATGACCATGACCATTCTGGCGGATAAACAATGGATCGTCATCAAAGTTCTTGGGACTGATAATTCCTTTTCATGGACACGCGCTGAAATCCTGGAACTGCGCATTGCGACGACCTTTTCTCATCTGGCACAATGTGGTTCTCGCAGATGCAAAGCGCAATAGGCCTCTCTGCACTCCTTGAGGGATGTCATAATCAGGGGCAACCTGAAAGGATCCATAGTGCCACTCCGGCAATTCGAAACGGATTCCATACCACTCTGGCAAGGGGTCTAGTCCTCGTGTATGTGGATGAATATGTATGATGTGGAATAATCACTATGCCTAGAAATAAATGAAAATGAATTTGCGTCCATACTGGAAATGTATGCATGCCATCTATAGAACTAACACACAACACACTAGACATACACACTATTTCTTTCCAATGTGCTAGAAAATGGTATGCTTCAGCTAGCAGTAAAACATGACTCTTTAACATGTAAAACCTGCTGGATTTCCTGGCCCGCGACTTGGGTTATGTACCCCTCCATATTCATCGGCTTTGTTCCAAGGCTACATCTAACTAACTTCTTCAAGTTCATTATATAATCAATGTAAACTACAATATGTTTCCCCAAAAATAAATCAAAGATCGATTACCATTTACTATGATGACTGTAATTACAAAACATATCGCCAAAACAATATTTTTTAAATGTACAAATTGGTAATGTTAGCAAAGCAATAATCAACCACTCGTATATATAAGTTGATGGTTTGTACAACCCATAAGAATTATTATGTAATATCGTGCCATAGTAAATTAATTGGGGGGTGATTTACTATTGCTTTACTATGGGCAATATGCATCATTAAGATACTTTACTAAGATTCATTACTGTGAGCATGGCCTAAAGTGGATCACCAGATTACCCAATTATTAGTATCACAACTGGTTGGTGGTTTCAAGCCCTCTGAAAATATGACTTCGTCAGTTGGGATGATGAAATTCCCAATATATGGAAAGTCATAATCCAGCCATGTTCCAAACCACCAACCAGATAAGTATCACAATTACTCGAAAAATATTAGTCAATGGGAAGGATTATCCCATATATTATGGAACATAAAACATGTTTGAAATTGTTTGAAACCACCAACCAGTAATTACTTTCCATCATTACCCTCTGGTAAACTAACATAACTATGGAAAATCACCATTTTTAATGGGAAAACTGACTATAAATGGCCATTTTCCATAGCTATTTTGACATAACCAGAGGGTACTTCAATGGCCTCTCCTGTGAGCACCCTGGCCGTGGAAAGCTGCCCGTGAGCGGCGCGCTGCTTGCAGCGTGCAGGTCACGCAGCGCCGAGATGGTGCCGAAGACCATGCCTTCGCGGCCCGGAAAATGCCCAGTTGACCAACAAGAGATGGTGATTTGAGCAGCAAAACTCGCAATTAGACCATGAAAAATAACTATATTAAAATAAAGATTCTATACTTCTTTACAAGTAAAAATGACAATTTTGGTTTTGGTGGATGTTAGCTACATTTAGTTACAGCATTTCACTTGCACAAATGGAGAATTTTACCAGTAAAAAATTGTACTTAACCCGCTAAGATCGCGCTTTTCCAACCAACAAGATTGCATGTAACTGTTTGCCCGCCAGATTTTGGATTTAATCAGCCAAGATTGGGGTTTAAGCAACAGAAAAATCATTTGCAATTTGACCATCAAAATTAAGATGTCAAGATGTTGCTAAGCAAGCAGCCCAAACAATCAAGCGCCAGAAAGGTGGATGCTAGCCCTCTAGCTGATGATTTAATCAACATTTGGAGCTAGGATCTCAAGGATCTCAAGGATCTCAAAAACCGTCTGCTTCTTTCGGTCCAGGGATTCTGACCCCCTGTGGATCTTGCCACCCAAAATTTGATTTTACAATTCAAAGTGATGATTCTATCGTAGAAATTGGAATTTCACCAGCAAGGGCTTGGATGTTCCCACCAGAGATGTTGGATGTTACCAAAATTAAGATTTGGCAACCACAATTTGGATTGAAAAAAAACATGGCACCAAGAGTGAAATGCCTGAAGCCGATGATCTTATCAAGGACTTTACCATCAACGGTGAACGGATCTCTAAAGTCTCAAGACCAAACAAAGATTGCGATTTGACCGGTTCAATCAGTTTTCATGGTATTCTGCATCCGCTGCGATACTGTAAGTGGCTAGAAAGTTTTTTTTGGTTAATGTTTTTGATCTACCAGTTCGCAGTAGTGCATCCATTTCAACTTGCATCATATATGGTTATGGGTCAAAACCCTGGTATAGCTGGATGTTTATTCCCCCCAGTCATATAATAAAAAAAATCCATTCCCATCATTTCCTCAGAAAAACCCAGCTGCTGAAAACGCCAAAGGCCAAGATCATCGCATGCACCAGCCGTCTCAGTTGGAACCGAAAGCCGACGCCGGTGCCATTCAAACGATGGGGCCCAACGACGTAAAAACACAGCACTGGCAGAATGATGTTGTTCATCGTCACCTGGATGCATGGCGATGCCAGGGCAAAGCTGTTTCCAATATCTTGCCACGCCACCCAAAAAAAATCTACTGTATATTCCATGCATATTCGATATAATCCATGTTAATCTTAATTACAAAATAGAACAACAACAAACCTCGTCATTTCTCAAGAAAAACCAACATTTTTATCTCACCACCATGGTTTTTCCATGGGTTTTTCCAAGGCACACAGGCGGCCGAGGTGAGATTTGTCATCTTTATGAAGTCCTGCACCTGCGCGGCCACAATGAGTCGCACCAGCGCCACGAAGACGCGCACCGTAATGCCTTGGACGTGACCATCACGAAACCGGTAAACCGCCAAAAGGGCCAGGAGGGAACAAAAGGGTTCAGGATACTATAGCTGTTTTCATGGTTCAACATGGATTATTCACATGGATTATTCACATGATTTTTTCAGATCATTTAAGTTTGGAATTTCTCCAGTTTTCCAAGAAAAAAGTGGATTCATATGGATTGATCCATGTTTTTCAGGCCCCAAAAAATGGTGCGACACTTCAACCATGGCGCTGACAGATCTGCGGGCGACCCAGCTCCGAGGCAGCAGGGCTTCAGTGGCCACCACCGTCACGGGCACATAGATGGCATCGGAGCACAGCAGGTGAAGCGTGAGTCCTGAACGGTCAGGGGTTATAGTTATATTTTTTGTGATTGGTAGTGATTGGTATGATATTGGTATGTTACTGTTGGGTTGAACATTTCATTGGGTTTACTATAGTACTATTACTGGGGGGTATTTGGAGGTTTCCTACGTCATGGGGGTAGCGCCAAATCATCCAAGTCATGGATGACCATGACTTAGTATTGAAACCCACGGAAACTTGGGGATCCCCAATTTTAACAAACTCCCCATTTTGTGATTGGGAATGTTACTGTTGGGTTGAATATTTGGGTTTACTATTGATTCTACGGGTTTGCCAGTGGTATTCAGGTAGTAACCCTGGTAACCCAATAGAAGAATGCCACCCAACATTTATTTTTCTTGCCATTGTTGTGCGGGGCATATTGGCGATATTAGGTGGTCATGATGTGCGTTTCGGGGTGATGTAAAACGTGCTAACTATTCTCTTATGATCACCGAATTACCCTCTGGTAAACGTACACATATCTATGGAAAATCGCCATTTTTAATGGGGAAATCCACTATTTCTATGGCCGTTTTCAATAGCAAACTGTTGGTTTACCAGAGGGTACTACCAATGATTTTGAGGGTATGGTTTACAATCCCACCAAAAAGGATCCCACAAGGTAAATTGTGATAATTGTGCATGCTCTATTGCTGTGTTTGCTACACTATCAGCAATTTCTTTTGGATTGGATTCTTTAAGATTGTTTTCAATGGTGCGACCAACATTCATAATTGGGATTAACATATTGTTTGATTGATGGACGTGGAATAAACAGTTGTTGATTGGGATATGTTTTTTTCTTGCAGCTATAACCATTTTTATCAGCTGACAATTGGAATATGTAACATGTAACATGGTTATCCATGGGCTGATGATGAAAAGATTGATGAGTAAACTAACCTACCCTCCCGTTTTTACTAGCATAGATGTGGGTTCTCCCACCATTTGTAGATGATTGTTTCTTAACGGCTGGCACATCTCGATTCGTGGGCTTTCCATGGCTTTCCCACATCTTTCACCAGGTAAACACCTGGTCGAAACTCACCGATTCACCAAGAATCCCCATCCCAAGGCATCTGCGAAGCCAGTGGGCGTCCCAGTGTTCCAAGGATTCACCGTGGCCCACCATCCAGGAAACCTGTGGGAACCCGCAGCCTGGCCCTACCACGATTGTATATCTAGAATCTTCTTATAGAATGTTATAGAACTATTGTATACTATTGTTATTATCATTATTGTCATTAAGATTATTAAGAAATTTCAAGAACACATATTAATGTAATTAATTGTTGTTAATCATTATATCACAATTATGATTATGTAAATGAACATATTTATATAAATAAAGGAACACAATGGAAAACGCATGGGAAGTTTCGGTGAACGGGGCGTGCTGGATCACGCATGCGCCAGTGACGCCGATGCAACTGTTGAGAATTGGGCCGCAGTTCTACCCTCGACTCTAGTACACCAATATAGCTGCAAGAAAATGCCAATTTATAGTTGACTTACCCTCTGATTATTTAACATAGCCATGGAAAATCACAATATTTAATAGGTAATTAAATCATCTATAAATGGGCCATTTTCCATGGCTATGTTAAATAACCAGAGGGTACCTATTGGACCTGTTGAAATGGTGTTTTTTCATAGCTATGCAGTTAAACTCCCACAGCCGCAGTCGATAGCTCAGTCCCGTTTATAGCTGCCATAGCTCAACAACTGAGGGCAAAGTCACATTCGGTACTCCCAGCCCTCTAATCTTAAACATTCTTAAACATACCCCCAATAAAGGACCCCCGAAAATAGAGGAAAATAGCACATCAGGGAGCCTACCGTGGGTATTTAATACTGGGGGAAGTAATGATTGAACATATTGAACGATATTTTTGGGAAACTAAAACTGAGCTTCTTTGGTTTTATTTTGGTTTGGAAGCTTGGCTGGGCCGCGGTCTGCTTGTCAGTTGGAAAACATCTTCCAGGTAGATCATGGTAGATCCACGAATCCAATAGATGATTGTCCCATTTAAAAAGATCATCCCCGAAGGAGTTCCACTTGCTATGTCTGCTATGTTTCCTGCCAGGGAGTATGACGATCTTATCCCACATGGCCAATCGTAGATACCCTGCACAAGGATCTTTGCTTAGTTGCTGAGCAAAAACCAAAGGTTTACTTAGTAAGTCACCCACTGGACAAGTCCCACCAGACATGCTGAAGTCACTGGTCTCGTCGATGCTTGAGGCCGTCGATGATATTCTCAGGACCCAGATTTCCGAAGACCCAGTACGAAGCCAACATGATCACCTCAAAACATCAGGATTAGCCACCCAGTGACCAAGCTAACATCTGTTCATGTGAGTACCAAGCTGCTACTATGAGGAAACCTAATCTTATCCCGTATATCAATGTATATCAGGGTTTGTCTTGGATATCCGACCAAAAAAAGTAGCATATATGGTGGTATAGAGTATGTGCCCTCATTTCTGTCAACACGACATGCCACCTGCCTTCGGATTTTGATGATAGAACCCCAACTATTCTCATGGTGAATCCTCACATTTTCCATTGAAATGGTTAATTTGGGTATCCCGCATGTCTGGAAAAGCAAATGCCATTCCATGTATACCCATTACTGTAATTTACTCTATATCTCCCATCATATTCCACTATATCTCCAATGTGGTTGGTTTGATACCCCCGGCATTGGCTTCTTACTGGTCATTTGGTCGAACGAACTAGAAGCGGGGCTGGGGGTGGATTTGCATGTGAATGGCAGTTGTGCAGTTCCTCATCAGTAAAGTTCCCTAACGCAAACAACAATGGCAGCTGCAATTCAGTCTGCCAAATGAACCATTAGGGTTTCCTTTCTAGTAGACTAAGAAAGTCGATCAAACGCCAGCTCACTTGCATTTTAGTTCTCGGAATTCGATCCAGCAAGTCGATATTGTTCCAAAATATAATTTGGTATTCGGTATGTCGGTACGTGGCTTGTTTTTTTAATGGTGTCACTGGCAAGAATGTTTTGATAAGGCTGATCTGGGCTTTTTTGGCATTGACGAGGTCGTTTCGACACCCTTTCTTTGAAGAGTGAATACAAGCTGCCGGGTAGGTGGTTTCAAATGTCAAAACACATCGTCACCTCCATGACCAAATCACGAATATGCCACAAAAACAGTCTGTAACCCTGCTTCCTCCGCAAACCTGCTAATTGGTTTCTCTGAGTCATATCCCACTGAAATCTATCAAATCTATCAATCGATCCAATTTTTTGGAAGCTACCCGAGTAAACCTCACCATATTTGGGCCATGAGTTCAGTCTCTGAGAACATGTTTTCATTGCATGGATTGTTGGAACGTATTATCCCTCGAACTTTTTGAAATCGGTTTATGATCAGTTTCCTCTCTTGGAATGGCGGTATTTTGGATGTAACTCCCAATTGTTCGATTCACCCGTATCATACTATCATAATTGTTCCTTGGATTCTATACCCGAAAAAACACTCTAAAATCTATCGACATCCCCAATATATCCCATGAAGTATGCCGCAGTATGCCCCATTGCATCCCCCATCCACCCTTTCTACTGCCTAGGGGCGTGTCTGAAAATGATGTCTTCCCCATGGCAGTTCTAGTAGGGAAACTGATGACAAAGCAGGTGCCAAAGCCATTTAGTATTATCCCCAAATATCCAATTAACCCATATCCCTATTATCAATGAAAATGATATCACGGTAAAATCAAAAAAACAAGTGTTCCCCATCTAATCCCATTAAATCATATTAATTCCCCATGAAAGTCCATTAAAAAAAACGGTTCTTCCATTTTTTTCCACTGTGTTTTTTTTCGCCCAAACCCAAGTCACCAGGAACTCCAATGCCACAATAAGGAAAGCCACCACGCACGTCCAGGTCCTTGAGCCATGCGGAAAATACGGGGGGAAAATTCTTGGACCATGGGTGACAATGATCCTGGGAGATATGACATGATGATAAATGATATGATAAGTGATATGAATTTATATGATAGATATGAAATGATATGAAATGAAATGTTATGAAATGAAATGATATGAACTGAAATGAAATGATATGAACTGAAATGAAATGGTATGAACTGATATGAAATGATATGATATGACATGATACAATACGATATGATATGATATGATGTGATAAATGTAGAAGTGTATGTACCCCCCCCGGTAATTTACCAGCTTACGAACTGGAAGCTATGGCTCATTTGTAGATGTTTTACCTATCAAAAACGGTTCTTTGTTCATAGCTATGCTAAATAAGCAGTAACCAGAGGGTATGTGAAATGAATTGAATGTATTTAATGATATCTAATGCTACATAGATATGTCTGCATGTAATGTTGGCATTTAACCCATGAATGTGAATACCTACTAACTCAAAAATTAGATATATGCATTACATGGATACATTTATAGATGCATATTGCATAAACACAAACACTAAGCAAATACTTTCACTATTAAAACAACATATACATGTATGTGTATGTCAAATGCTATGATGTGTGTAGTATACGCATAAATATTGTCTTCTCTACCATACATACAGGAAACATGATGTTTTGTACACTTCAATACCTACATGCATATCACTTATCAGTTTGTATATTATACATGTAAAATCAAACTATTATCATACACACTTAAATATGTCTACATATGTATAATTTCACCATAGCTGGATGTACCTTGGATAGTTGGGTAGCCATGGTTAGTTCATCGTTTTCTTGGCAAACAGGAAAAACACAAGAGCCACATAAAGAGTCTCAGTTCACCCTTGCTCTTGATGGTGTCGGGTTTGATGAACGCGAGAGTGATATATTGAATTATTGACTGCATCAGAAAAAAACACTCTGTAAAGCATGTGTAAAATATGCATGGCCTTTAACACCAAAGGGATTTAAGAGTTTTGTTATCCTCCAGCATTTTCTCAAAACCAAACTGAAGGACCAAAGATAATCAAAGCACATTTTGGTGGAAGACTCGTCCCCGACATATCCTGCCTCCCGGGGACCGGCTTGATCTATGAGCTGGTTCATGGTACCCGAACTTTTCCCAAAAATTCTCGGGATGATTTTGGCCAAGGCCAACTTTGACTGTCAGCCTTCTTCCATTTCTTTCCAAGCGGCAAGGACGCTTTCTCCCGCATTGTGCTTCGCAGAGTGGGGAGCGTGACCACGATGGCAAAGGCGTACATTATGTATGAAAATACCTCAGAAGCTTCCAGGAAGGGACCCCAAACGATGGCTAAGCTGGTAAAACTACGCCACCTTGGTTGTTGATGCTCAAAGTAGATATCTCATGATATCTCTGTAGTTCATTGGGGTTATAAATTAGCTTGTGACTGGGCGGCACCATCCATAGTGACAGAACCTCTGCAAAAAGCAATGATAAACATGTGAGAATCATGGCCGGGCCTGTCAAAAAAATGTGGTAAACCCGAAACATGCGATTTCTGGCAGAAAAATCATGATAAGCTGCCGGATGTTGGGGTCCCTTGTCTTCAATCCATGTATACCTCATCACTTTCCCAACTATGGTGGAGCCGACTATCTAAAGAATATATGACAGTCACTTGGAGGGCCCATCACCCCATATGCTGATTGAAATGGATAAAATCTGAAAAGACCAACTCTAGAGAGTGGTGGATTTATCATCAAGTTGGGTAGATGCCCTATGGTTATTTGACAGTTTGCAAAGTGGAAAATCACAATCTTTAGTAGGTCAGTAGGTAAACCATTCACACATGGCCATTCTGTCTGTACTCTTGAAAGTGGCAACAGCCGGCCAGGTGCAGGGTTTTCCAGAAAAATGAAAAGACGCCAACCATCAAAATGTGTCAGGTTTAGCGAGGAATTCAATCTTTTGGCGGGTTCCCAATTCACAGGAACACCCAAACACCCAGGCATTGCAGAGTGAGTGCCAAGCGTTTGGAGCCCTGAAAATACCTCTATTTCCATTTAGATTGGCTGGCTAATAGGTATCCATATTATGGTTTCTTCAAAAAAAACTTAGAATGACCAACTACCATTCTTATTCTGAATGCTTCAAGCGCCGCCAGATTTTCTCACCAAGGCACTGAAAAGGTGTTGAGGAAGGAATCAAAAGGCCCATCCCCAGCGACGTTAATGCCAATGGAATGATAGGGCATGCCCTCTCCGTCCCTGGCATCCCGAAAGGTGCCAAGGCAAACAAGGCAAACAAGGTAAACAAGGTAAACAAGGTAAACAAGGGAAACATCCGCAGATCACTATGATTCAACAATATCTGATGACAACTGAGAGATCATGTTTAGATCTTGTTTCAATACTATATGGAAAACATCGTTTTCATCCATGATTTTCCAAATATTCGATGGTAAATCTTTCCCCCATGGATCCACGGTTGGATCTCTTCATTTGGAGCACAGGCACCCTTGTCGGGTGGACCCCAATCAAAATGTGGGTAAAACATGGTAAAACAATAAACCACCCATGACTGGGAACGGTTTGAATCCCAACTATAAGAATGGTGATGACTGGGGGATGGTTTATTGTTTTATTAGTGGGAAAATCTTCTACAGATGAGGAATTTGGACTATTCCGTTCCCGTGTTGCAAGAGAGTTATCAACTTGTGGCCTACATTGACTCAACCTCTGGTAATCTTCCGCATGGCCCGCTGAGCAACCTCTGACTTGCTCATCCATTTGAGTTATGAGTTTCCCAACATGGGGAAGACTATGTAAATTGCCAGTTTTTAGTCAGAAATTATAACCAATCAAATACCAATCACCATCATCATCATCATCATCATTGTTTTGACGTTGAAAACCCGATGTTCAAACAATCCTCACTCATGGTAAAGAATAAACTTTATATAGTGTAATATTTATATATATATATATATTTATATTATATATATAGTACCCAAAAAAATGACAGAACAGTCATTTAGCCACCATACAGTATTTTGGACTCGAACATCACTTTTCTATTGTTGTTGAGGCTTCAAAGCAGCCACATTTTGAGTCAGGCCCGCTGAGTGCCTGCAGCTGTCGTTAAAGTCCAGCCCATACTGGAATTGGTCAAAGGTTCCACCGTAGACACAGACCATGCCTGGAACAAAAGAACTTGCGATTTCGCCTAGAAAAAAAACTGATTGAACACCCACGGTTCTATTGGGAATATGATAGACTTTGATGGGATATGTTATGCTGCTATAGTGTCTGAACATGGGTGAATTATCCAGCAAGAATGGGATTAAGCCCACCATTTGACAGAGATGGAAAGGTGATATGTAGCCAACAATATGATTTTGGTATTTTGGGTGTAGTTGAAAAATGGGGTATATCGTATTCCCCCAAAATGATCCACTCTGGCAATGTTAATGGACAAAATGATGATGAACCAGAAAAAAATGTTGGTACACCTATTGTCGTACAAGCCCATTGTCTGCTTGGTGGCGTTATGAAGAATGGGATCATCCATAACCATTTCAGGAGATCACCCACGAAAAAGATTCAACCCCAGTCTTGAGCCCGACATCTGACGAAACATCCAGGACGGAAAATGAGGAGAATTGACACTAGCATACACTAGCTATCTATCAACCACTGTTCTGACTGGTGTGCCAAAAAGCCTTGCGTCAGGTCATTGACTCCGACGCATGCTTCCAACAAAAGCCAGCTCATGAAAGGGAATCATGTGGCAAACTGGCAAGAAGAAAACCCAAGCTGTCGAGATTTACGAAGAACCGTGGCAAAAGTTGGTCTGCCAAGATACAGAAGAGGGTCAACACGATTCCAATCCAGGCAGAATTGTGAAGCAGGCTGCCCATATCCACAAAGCCTCAACTGGAGTTTTCACTCGATCCAGCCATCCTATCTGGTAATGACTAACATACGTAGCTATAGAAGCCATGGCCCATAGAAATAGTTGATTTTCCCATTCAAACATGGTGGTTTTCCATAGTTATGTTAGTTTACGAGAGGGTATATCCCGTTAAATCATATTAAATCCATTAATATCCCATTGAATCACGAAAAACCAGAGGGACAGTTGATTAAAACATGGTGAACAAAACCCGCGTCCCACCATGCCATCGGCCAATGGGGCTGTAGAAGAGGGTGGTGGATGTCAATAGCAGCGCCCACCATTTGCGTCCCGCATCTTTCTCATTCCCTCCCAGCGGCCAGGACCTGAGACTACACTAAAATTTTTGCACTTCATTTATACATTATATGTATATATATAATATAGATAATTAGAGGATAATTAATGATAATTATACATATCAGGAATCTGATAGCAAAATAAATTCCCTTTGAACGACCTCAAAATAGCGTGTGCAGAACTCTTGAAATCAAGCACTCCCAAGCACCACAGTGGCTTAAACACATAACAATATTTACTACAGTATATCCTGAAAGGTCTATTTTGGAAGTCAGGAAATCACAGGCTGGCAGCTGGCAACTCCCAGCTTTAGGGAGCATCCAAACGCGAAACTGTCAGCGGGGATCCTCCATTAAAAAAACACATGTTTGCTGGTTGGTGAGTCAGTTGGGATGATTATTCCATATATTATGGAAAATAAAACATGTTTGAAACCACCAACCAGTTTGTCATGTTTGCAAGTGTTTGCATCATACTACCAGACCCAAACCAACTGTGAAAGAAGACTCTGAACAGATCACTGACTTCACACCAACCAGCGTTGGTACTTCAAATGTCATTCAACAACCCGAGGCCCACCTCCCCCCAAAAAAGGCCATGAAAAATACCACTATCATCCCATTAAACAAAAAAACTGGTTGGTTCACAGAGTTTCCCAGTTCATGGATCCCCAATGATGCAATGATCCCCAAATAACTATATTGAAGTTATATAGCCATAGGATTCATGGTGCTGCCATATATGGTAACATGGCTGGATACCAAAAAAATATACCCCCAATGTTAGCATATATACCAGCACTATGGATCCTATGGGATAGTTATATATGTTAGTATAATCCACTATTACAACCAATCAACAATGCTATTTTTTATCGCTCAAATCCTTCCACCCCCCTTCCCGCCCTGTTGGTTGCTTGTGCGCCAAGAGATGGGCATCGTAAGCTGCAAATTGTGGGCCTCAAGGATGAGTCCTGCCGCTTTCGAGGAATCGGACACCGGAAATGGGATGCCAAAAACGGTTTATCTTTATCTAAATTGAACGTCCCATGACGTAAAGCATTGTAAGAAACCATTGGCTTTATGGCTCTTGGGTTTAGATAAGTTGTTCTGATGTTCAATAAAAAGAATAAAATCTTTTGGAGATTCAACACATGTCATTTGCTTTTCAATAGGTAGTGAATCTACAAATTGAAGAAATTGAGAAATTTCCCTAAATGAAGCGGGGGATTACCGGAAGGTACATGGCTGGAGTATATAACAAGGTCTTTCCCAAGGCTTAGTTCTGCAGAGATCACCAGCTGGGGCCGCGTTGCTCAGGCCACATGGCAGGTCACTTGGAATGAGTAACATGCAGAATTTACAAATAACGTTCAGAATTAAAAGAAACACCTTGGATAACTAAAGATTGGGGGTTACGTTACTCCCAAAAAGATCCAAAAAATAGGAAAAAGTGATGCCAGGCTACTTCAATATCTTCAATGGTACCCAAATGAACAGCCTAAGGGGTAGCAACATCCAGCGCCCTCAAGGCATTTTCCACCAGATCCCCTTACCAGCCCTCCCAGTCCTCCAAAGATCATCCCAAAGAGCGACAGGGTGCTGGACACCGCAGAAAGCCACCAGCCCGTCTGGCCCAGCGCCGCTTCGGCGAAATCCTGGCACCCGTGCAGGCCAGGCTTATTCACCATGTCCATGAACCGTTCATGAACTTCTACGAAAAACGCGGTACAAAAAAGCTTTTTTGAGGTCGGACATATCTTCACATGACAAGGGCATCAGTCGGCAGTCCGCATGTGCCGCATTGTGGCATGGCATTCCATCCCACCTGGTAGGAGACAATGTCGATGCCATCCTTCTCCAACTTGTTGCTGGTTTCGGACACCAGGTGGACCATTTCGGAGGTGACCAAGACACCTATCCTGGGGACGCGGCGAGACGGGGGGAGCTGTTAAGGAAGATGACACATCTAATTTGAGGGCCAAACAACATGAACCTTGAACGGAAGTAAGTTCTATTTTTTCGGAAGTAAGGTTCTAAATAATGATGTAAATACTTGGAAGGGAAATGAAGATCAACATATTGATGTAAATGATCGTAAATGAACATACTGAGTTTCTGAAGATATATAAGGCAGTGTTAATTCTCTGTACGCCACTTGAACAAAGAGATGTGACGATGGTTAGTCATGTCCTATTTTCGAAACTTCCGCCCCGGCGCGTGCCGGGCACTATCGGGCATTATTATATACAATTCGATAAATTCATGATCATTCTAGATATGGTTTCAACATGTTTCAGCTAAACTACCTCAAGAGACTTTGGCTATTGAGACATATCAAGAAACATATTACCATTTATCATCATTGATCTTGATGTCTTCATAATCTTTATATACATTTATGATCATTTATACGTATGTTAAGTTTATGCTGCTCAAAACTTCACCATCAACTTCACCGAGGATCACCAGAACCACGGGGGTGAAGATCCATCCAAAGGTTTTCATCTGGGCTGAGATGCCCAGCACAGCAGTTCCCGTGATGCTCAAGACCACGTTGCAACAAAGCCTGACGTCCCCGAAGGGAGTCCCTTCGGAGTCCCTTCGGCGGGATGAAGGGCCAACAACAGGCCCTGACTTTTTGTGACTTTTCGTCAGCGTCGTTCTTCTGAAAGTTTTTTATAGTGATAATGCTGATACTGACTGTACTGACTATAATGACTATACTATAATGACAATGTATGACTTTTTGATGACTCATTTCCCCTGACAATATGTGACAATCCACACTGAAATCCAGGGGTAAATGAGTCATCAAAAAGCCATTGGGATTTCTGGGTTTGGAAATGGCAACAATCGGTAGACATTTAATGAACTTGATAGAATTGGGGATCTATCCATCCATGCATCCGTCCATCCACCCACCCACCCATCCAATCATCCATCCATCCATCCACCCACCCACCCATCCAATCATCCATCCATCCATCCACCCACCCACCCATCCATCCATCCATCCATCCATCCATCTCTTTCTCTTTTAAGACTGCGATGTTCATAGGATTTAATTATCATCCATCACTATCCTTCTACATTCACCTCAGCCCCTCACTTCATTTCAACATATTTCACGGTTCGACCAAGAAACGTCAATGAACTCACCTGATGCTTCCTGCTGGACGTGCTGTGAAAGGATTCGACCGAGCTTGGGGATGACACATAGAGAGGCTCCGCTGACATGGTCGACATGGCTTGCACTTGCTGCCGAGGCATGGACCCAGCTGACCGATGGGTTTTCTACTGGGATCATTTGGGCCTGGAATTTCTTGGGAATCCTCCACACGTCTGGGAAGTTCCAAATTATGGGAGGATTTGGACGTCTTAGAATTCCAAGATAGTGGCACCAATACGTAGAGTCTTCGCTTCTTATGAGTCTTATGTTTTGTCAATACCACCTTGCCGTTGGGAAAATGCCCCAGATTTTTTCATGATGTTGGCTCCAGATCTGTCCCGAAAGTCTGCTGGTATAGCAGAATGTTTGTTTTTTTTGACATATTCCCATCTATCTCAGCCAGTTGAGCTTCCACAACTGAAAGCCGCAAAATTGCGGAGGTGAGGTGCCATGAAAGTGTATGCATGATGCTTGAATCAAGAGATCATTCAAAAGTGGAGTTGTTTTTTCTTTCTATGGCTGGTTTGGCCATAAAGAAACAGCTTGTTTTTTTCAGGCATCAACTAGCTGGTTTTCGTTCGTAGAAGTATGCGGCTATGGCTCAAAGTCTCCCCCAAACTTGAATGGTTACGCATGCATACACCACTCAATGGCCAAATTCGGTGAAAAAATATGGTCTATTGAAATCCATGGAATCCATGGGCGATCCCGAAAAACAGCAGTGGACACCACGGGCACGGGATACCCCAGTTGAAGGCACCTTGCCGACGCCCCGACGCTTGATGAAGGTCAGAATCTCCGTAGCCAGACCCACCGAAATACCTCCCGCTCCCGAGAGTCACCATGGCTTCTGTTTCTACCCTGGGCCCTCTTTTATACCTTTCTTGTTCTTCCCAAGAACATCACCACATGATACTGTAGTTCATTAACACATAATAACATATATATATATACATTGTGTAAATATATATATATATATATATGTGTTTATAATATAATATTATTATATATATAACACAATAATACATATATATTACAATAATATACATATATATATATATAACAATAATATACATTATTTATATATATATATATATATTATGATTAATATTGGTTGTTTTATGAGATTTAACATATGTAACAACATAGATGTCATGCGTGTTTTCGGCTAAAAAACCTCTTTGTTCTACCCATCCTTTCGACGACGAATCCGGCACCGTTCTCGAAGACGTAGCGCCGCACCAGCTTGTTCTGTTGCAGCTCTTGCGCCGTGGCGTGTCTGGCGAAAACGCGGATGGTCCCAAGAAAATGGGGGGACAAAGGTTAATAATGATTGAGAATAGTACAGTATGTTAACAGTATATTAACCATTATTAACAGTATATTATCCCATATTTTCTAAAATATTTAACCATTATTGTTATAGGCTTTTTAGAGGTGTTTTAATGGATTTACATGGATGAACCATCATAAAAAAAAACATGATTTATCCCTATTAATGGTGATATAAAAATGAAGGTTTTCTCCAAACGGATTGCCAATAATGGAAAATCTGTAAATGGATGATGAATGGGAAAACCACCAGTTTAGAAAACCTCCAAAGAAGAAGATCCTGGAAAATCGCTGGGGAAAATCAGTTTTTTCTGCATCTTAAAGCATCATACCACCCTTGGAGGGAAAAACATGAGACCTTCTTGAAGTCGCATGACTCTTGGATTTTTAGTGTGGGCTGAATCAGTCCAACGTTGTCCACCCAATGGGCACGTGGGAAGAATGGCATCTTTATTGAACTTGCAGACTCAATATAGACTAATTATGACTAATTGAGGGGCTTTTCCTTCCAAATTCACCGGACTAAACATGGGGATCCCACAAATGGAAAGAAACGAAGATGTTGGAAGATGTTGGATGCGTACAAAAGCTCTCTGACCAGGTGATTTCCATTGATTTCCTCCATCATTCTGTGATCTGAACGAACTTTTGTGACCTCAACATACTGGGTCGTTGAAAAACAACGCTCCCGGGAAAAATCTGCTCCGCGCCTCAATTTCGCGAGGGCTTGGTTGATGGTTCCAATGAAGAAACTGAAAACGATCAAACCTGCCCACGGTATCGGTGAGGAGATCACGGTTCTACCCACTGGCGCTGATTCTTGATGATCCCGGTGTTTTGATTCATGATTCCAAAATCTCAAAACCCTCAAACCCTAATGATTCTAAGTGATTTCCTAAAATAGGGCTACCCAAATCATCCACAATTCATCCACAATTCATCCACAACTCCATGGTGGGATTCCCCATGACTCATCCTCTCCGAGCGATGCGGCCACCTCCCAATGTGACGACCACCGAAAACGTGCGCTCAATAGAAGTGACCGCCACCTGTGGTCATTTTTCAGGTTCTGTCACTTTCCGGAAGCTTTTGGACGAAAAAAATATATATTTGGCCAGTTAGAATATGTTATAATTAGGAAATTCTAGGGTCCAATCACTATGAATAACTATATACGTCCCAGTGCAATGAGCTAGTCGTTATTGCATGTTATTGCCAATCATGTGGCCAATAACATCATTCTAGTTCTCTCGATGGGAAATAAACCGTGGAATTCCGTCCGGGAAATATCCAGCCGGCGGAAACAAATCATCATCATCGCTGGATGAGAAGTACCTAAATGTACCATGTTGAGTCAACGCTGAGGTAAAACCATCGTGATTTGTGTGTCTTTTCGTTTTGACAATTAGTTCAGCACTGAGTACATTGTTATACAGAAGGCCGGAAGGGCAACATATTGCTGTGAATGTTGGCAAACAAAATTATGTTTGACACCTAATAAAACCAGTACATGCCGATCCAACAAAAACTGTTTTTTTTTGCTGACGTGTTCCATTCTGTTGTCATTTCATCGAAGAATTTGCAACAACTTATCAGCTGGTCACGGTTGCTAGTTTCACCTTTTCAAAACGACAAATGAAACTCAACCGAACAGCAAAACCATTCCAAAAAATCAACCATCATTGTACAGTGGCCCAAACCCTTGTGGAAATTCCAGTCATGGAAGACTTGACCTAAGCAAAGAAGGTAGATTTCCTAGCTGGTGAGTCGGTATTTTCATATTTTTCATCATCCAACAAAGCGCCATCACCGGATGTTGGCTGCCAAAATCCCGTCAGTGCCAGTCCATGCTAGGGATTGGTTGATTCGTATGCCCCTCCTGCAAGGCTTAATGATCATCCCAGCATTGACCATGCCACAGGGTACGTAGTTGTTATCCAATTATGTTTTCGATTGTCGTTGTTGAAATCGGGTTCTTTGGATCAACATCATTTACCTCCATACATGGATAGATTGATGCCCTTCTCAAAGGTCAATATCCTTGAGAACAAACGCTAAATCGTGGACTCAGTTCGTTCCGGAAGGCATTTGCAACTATTTTTAGGCATTGAGGAATGCTGATTGACAAGGAAAACATTTTGATATTCTGAAAAAATGTGCCTACAGGAAACTCCGTTCGTCTCTCATAGGATTTATCTTAATTTGTTTTGGTAAACCCCATCAATCGTGTGGATCGATGGTAACCCTCCCTGCGGTCAAGAAACTACGTCCATGGCGGCAGGCGTGAACTGGGTCAGTGACCAGTGGACTGCTGTGATGTACATGTACCTGCAGTCGTTAGATCCATCACGGTGGGGCTGAGAAGCGCTTAAAGCTGTGGCCTATTGTTTTTTCAGGTTTTGTCAAACCAACACACAGTTCAAACAGCCTCTCGAAAACCCTGGTTTGGTACTGGGTCTGTACATTTGAGGTCCCATGTCTTGGGATGGTTGTTATAATGATGGGGCGATGGATTTGAAAAAAGGAAACCAATTTAATTACCTTCTTCGAGTGATTCCCGCCGTGGCATATACGCTGGCAAACATTCTGGCAATTCATCCGGCGTCCTATCTGACATTTGATCGGGCATTCTATCTGAATATACATGTCATTCTATTTGAAATATATATATATATACACACTAAAAAAATATGTATACTGTATAATACTGAATTATACTGACATTGTATCTGGCCTTTTAATCCGGCATTCTATCCGGCAATTCATTTGACATTCTGGCATTCTACCGTGACAGAGTGGCCAAGAAGCTGGCAGAGGAGGAAGAGGAGGAGATCCGGGATGTCGTGTCCTTGCTTGGCCGACTGGTCACGTTCTCGTTTGACTTGAGTGAATTGATCAATAATAGGATCCCAGGACAGATCAGGGTACTGACACAGAAGCTCCAGGAGCTGTATGAAGTCTCGAAGCACCAAGAGGTGGCTGAGGCCTTGGAACTCTTCCACTGGCTCCACCGGCCAAACAAGCACCAGAGGCGTTGAGGTCAGGTAGAACTCCAGGAGCTGCATTGGGTGGACTGAGAGCTCCAGGAGCTGCATTGGGCCCACTGTGCTTCGTACAAGGTAATTAGTTATTTCTCATCTTCGCTGGACACCATGGCTCTGCACCAGACATTGGCCATGTGGAACTTTATCCAGTAATCTTCAGGCCTCGTCATCTGGTGCTGCCACACATCACCTTGCGCGGCAGTCTCGCAGGACTGGGATCTACAGTCTTCCTGGTGGACATAGGTTTGAAAAGGACCTTGGTGTGACAAGCATTTCCAAGGGAAAGGAACCATGGAGATGTGCTGCAATGTCTCCCCAGGCGCCTTCTGCTCGTTGCCGGTTTGGCACCGGCTGTTGGCCACTGTGGCCTGACCAAAACGCTACACTTCCACCGCCTTGTTTGGAGGCGATGGAGATCACTATGGCAAAAGCTAGGGTCAGGCCATAGAGAACCTGTCCCTCCTCTGTTCGATGTGTCAATTAAATTTCATCTATTTCTGTCCGCGTGGCACCCAGAATATTTCCATTTAAGGAATGGATCAATCTGTTTCTCTACAAGTCTGACAAAAGCCAAGCATGCTGAGCATGTCTGACCGCAGACTGAGTATGCCTCATCTGGATCACCTTTGTGGGAATTGTCTTCTCGGTGCAACATAGAAAGGCCAGCATCATCAGCAAAAGCTCGAACGCACTTTTTCTTTGGCCACGCTTGTCATTGTCCAGCACTAATTCAACGTTTAAAAAGTCTGCGTCGCGATTTACCAACATTGTTCAGAGTGCCAAGGCAGAAAACCCACATCATTGCCAATCATGGCATATGAAAACATGAAACAAAGGGGCATGAAAAGGTCGTTTGACCTCTTCAAGCTTGAGTCACTGAATGGCTGACAGACAATGACTGACAGACCTCACCTGGCAGGTTGCGAAAAAATCAAACTTCTTCAAGTGACCCCCCACCAAATGACATTTTATCTGACATTTAAACTAACATGAACTATGTGACATTTTATGTGACATTCTATCTGGCATTCTACCTATTCTACCTGGCGATCTAACTGGCAAATAATTTCACATTTCATCTGGCATTCCTATCTGACGTACGTACTACTTGACATAAGGTTCGGGTCCGGCATTGGCGAGCTCGCCATGTTGTTCGGGTCTGGCAAGCCGGCAAGACCGTATCAATTTTCAGAACAACATGTAAGTTCTAATCATCATTTAGGGCTTGCATCCCCGCCTTCAAGCCTCACTAGCTTACATTCCCACTTTGAAGCTTCATGATGCGCATTTTTGCGGAGGTTTGAGCGTTTATACCCCACATATGGCTATATCTCAAAATTGTGGTAACCCTACCCACTTGTTCCTCGTTTTGTACTAAAACCTTACATTTTTTGGTCCAAAGACTTTTGGTCCATACCCAACATGGATCCAAAAAATAGTTTCAAAACACAGGAGCGATCGATTGGACTTCTTAAGATAGCAGTATTCCATAAATAGACATAAATAGTACATAGATCAGATTCCATTTGCACAATTTTATCACGTGTGTGATGCTTAAATTTAAAACCTTACCCCCGAACGGATTTTGGAATTGGTATTACAACATTGGGTTTGTAAGCGGCCTAGTGTGCACCATCAACCACCATTCGGATGTGCGTCCCAGTTTGCAAATGGATCACAACCATAAGAAATCACTTAGAACCCCATCTGATGCCCCAATCTGAAAAATGTGCGAAAATCATGAGGGATCATTATCCCAAATATAGTGTATGCCAATAAACATCATGTTTGACACCATCAGCCAGCAGTTGTATGTGGGATATACGGACATCGGTTCACAGCCTTCATCCAAGCCCCATCTCTGCTGAAAAAACTCCAAGCCACTGCCAAGGACAGTCCTGCCCGAGCGTCGCTTCCCGCAACTCGCTATGGGCTGTGACCTCAATTTATTTTGGATCCTAAAATGGAGAAATGGTGATGTACTTGAAATATCTATAGCCAACTTCATATGGAGGTTTCCTGAAATGGGGTTACCCCCAAATCATCAGTTTTTATCGGATTTTCCATTATAAACCATCCATTTGGGGGTACCACCATTTATGGAAACCCCCATATGGTGAATATAGGCTTACTTGGCAGTTCATCCGACATTGTAGGTTCCACCCCAGTTATAAGTGGACCAACCCTACTTATCCCACGAAAAAGGGAAAACATGGATATAACCTACATAGTGGGATGAGCCACCACTGTATATAATTCGACTCTTATGGTAGGAACAACGAACTTCAAATCTAACCCCAGGACACATGGATACAAATTGGGGCCAAACGAAAACGATAACTAAGTTAGTTGCAATAAGTAGGTACATTCTATTGTTCATGGTAGATTGGTATCTATAATGCAATGAAAATACCGGTGTATCATGATATATCTATAGTTCGACTGCCCCACATCGTACCCGACGAATATATTTCTGGTAGCTAGGACCCATGGCAAGGCACCAAATATTTGGAAATGCAATGCTTGAGCACATGGTTTCACCCAGGGTTTTCAAAGGCTACGCCTTTGAAAAAGTTTTGTTGTCCTGGTATTTGACATGGACTCGTAACCACATGATGCCATATGTACATGTTGATTCTGAATCCGAAAAAAACTGAAGTCAAAAACACTTACAAATCGAGTACATTGGGTATAAATCGGTATAAATGGATTACCTTCCGGTAAACAAACATGCCAATGGAAAATCCTCTATGAATGGAACAATCATCTATAAATAATGGTTTTCCATTGCCATGTTTGATTACCGGAAGGTAAGCATGCATGATTTGTCCACAACAATTACCCATTCATGGCTCAGGAATAGCCTGCACCGGGCCACCCTTCATCGCTGCCCTCCCGTTTTGGCAAGGTGCCCAAGTAGCTCCGTTCATCATCTGCGCTCCTGGCTCGAGGTGGCGTTTCAGCCTTGGATTAATGGGATTGGAGTATAGTATAGCAATATTAAACCGCCAGAAACCATGGGAAACCATGGTGGATGTAGGGAACTTCCACATCATTGGGACCATAGAATGGGATCAATGGGCATGTTTCGTATTAGGTACCCTAGGGGGATGGGATTATAACAAAAATACCTTTGGATGGTGGCTCCAATCATGACGCTCCAAGCCACGGCCCGTAGAAAATCAACGAGGCCAGGAGAGCCGAATTCTGTGTCACTGGAACATTGCTTCAAGAATCTCTGTTGCATATCTATATATATATAAGTATATATATATATGTGTGTGTGTACGATTATGTACGTGTATATATATATAATATAATTATGTATTATGTACATGTATGTATACTATATATATAAGACGAAAGCAAAAAGTGAAAGTATTAGGTACGTGCCCATCTGAGGTTGACCCAGTTCTTGCAGTTGGATGGTTCCTGTACCCATTCTTTAGGCAGCAGTTGTGGCCAGCTTCAGCACGGAACTGCAGTCCATATATCTCTGAAAAATCTTCAACAACCGGAACGCCCTCCACATTTGCACCTTAAAATAAAAACACCTACCTCCGGTAAACTAGCATAGCTACTAACACCATCTAACACCCATGTATAGTTGATTCACCCATTGAAATTAGTGATTTTCCATAGCTATGTTAGTTTACCAGATGGTAGTCTTAGGGTGACATGGTCAGATGTGACATGGTCAGACCCAGTCCTATGGCGTACCAAGTACAGCCAGTAAAGTGACAAAGCAAGGCGATGACGCCCTGACAGTACCATGCTGCTGGGAGACTGCGGGATCACCGTTTTTTTGGAGGTTCTGGTGGGACAGTGTTGCTCCCAACACCCCACAAGGGGAGGAAATTGGCTAAGTAGATCTAAGTATAAAGTAAAATCACCCATTTCACCTCCCGTGTGGCAATCATTTACTTAGAATAGGTTGGAGCCCCATGGGAGATGGAGGTATGAAATCAAAATAAATAAATGGGTGTTCAGCTTTGTGCAGAACCAAACCAACGAATGCTCAATCTACCAGAATGGAATGAAATGTACGAGATTTGACGAGCAATCACCACGACATCACAAAACCGAATAAGGAGATGAGCCACTGACAATATTCAACACATACCCTTCATCTGCTGGCGGATAAACATCAAGAAACATGGTCCACCTGTTCGGCCTCCTTGTCGTGTGCAGTACAGTACTTCTAAGTTGCAACTAGCACAGCCCTGATTGAAACGAAGATGCCATTTGCAGATCCGAAATATATTCCAAGGCCGTAATGT